CAATGTATTCAGTTTCTAAAAACATTGCATTCATTTTGGGGGTTATTTTAAAAGTTATTTTATTGTAAACTGTGAAATATTAGGCAGCAATGCTGCACAGGTTGAAGGATATTTTTTTTTTTTAGATTTAAACTGTCCCAAATGGAATCTATCTGATTGAATTGATCAAATAAATTAAGTGGAAGTAAATTGCTAGACAAGTAATGTCATAAAAAACAAGTATACTGCCATCAGCACAGGTTGAATGAGAATATGCCAATCCTACAGAACTGACGTCATGATGACAGACTGTATCACATGACTAGCACCATCAACTATCATTACTCAAATGAGACCTGTATCTTTCGTTTATATATAAAAATAAATAAATAAAATACAAACACATATTTACTATTTATCACGATAATTACTTTAAACGAGTCAAAATCAATTACTGGCTGGTCTTAATGATTTAAATACGACGTTGAAATCACACCAGAAGATGTTCCGGACCATCAGACCGTCAGGTTAAACGCAGGCCTTTAAAATGAATACTGTAACTTACATTACACTGCATGTTTAAAATAGAGCCGCGGTTTAAACATTTGCGTACGATCATGTAAAATAAATACGTAAATAATATACAGATTAGAAAATACTAGCTAATACAATGAATATGTTAGCATGTATATTTATTGCACTTGAATTAAAAAGTAACATAATATAATGTTCAGTAGGCTTCATTTGTTTACTTAATATCAGGGCAGAGGAACATGGGAAATATATGTAAAAACTGAACTTCGCCAGCTGAAGGGGATTTAAACGATCGGAGGATCTGTGCTGGCTAAAGAAACAAGCTAACTGACATTAGCTGTGCTGTTGTTTTATGACGATTTATGCGCGAGATGGCACATAAATGATAAAATAAAAAAACCCGTTCTGCATCTTTAAACGTCAAAACATGTCAAAAACGACAAGCAATTGCATGTGGAAATGTCGAAATCAGACAAGCTAGCAGTATACACACACATTTGACTCACCTTCCAGAGTTTCACATTGAACAAGGTTCAAATAATCCGCCTGAGATAAAATACCAGCCTTAAAACCTCTCACCAGCCCCTCCAGATAACCATTATCCACATTAAAATATAATTCAGAGAAAGGCATGGTGAAAAAAATAAGACTAACTGTGTACTATCTACAGAAAAAGCAAGACGTAGCTCCGCAGTCCTGAGTGACAGACAGTGAACAATTTGTTCTTCTGAGTCGAATCTCTTTAATGAACCATTTGAACAGATTCAAAAACCAGCTCTGAATGATTCAGTGAGTCGAATATCAGAATTTCTACAAATACTAAATTGTTTACAACTTGATTGTATGTCAGTTTAATCAACAAACATACGATTCCGGTTTTTAGTAAAATCTCTATTTTTTCACCCGAAAAAAAAGTTTATAAATGCAATTTGTTATTTCGAAATGACTTTTTGTATTATGAGCTGAATCCTAACTGCGTACATAATAATAAACGATCAGTAGAATTTAATTGTAAAATAGTAAGTAAAAATAGCAACAGATAGAATACAACACTTGAGAATCGTTTTAAAGCAAGAATCTAACGATTCAAAAGAACCGATTCGTGGAATTGAGTCCGACTTCCAAAGTTGCGAATACCCGGATGAACACAGACACACACTGACACACACACACACACACACACACACAATCTCATGTGACTGAGCATCTGACCATCAGACCTACGATCTCAGACTCAGACCATCCCTACACATAGACATTGGGGGTCCCGCGGGTGGGGTTTTACACCTTTAGTGGACGGTTAAAAACTACGGCACGGGTCTCGTCCTCACAGATTGTTTTTCTCTTTTTAACAAGAAAAGAGTCAACAAATGAAGTTCACCGCATTCGATCATAACAATCTCTTCCTCTATGTAACGTTAAGCTAGTGCTTGGCCAAGTCATTAATTAATAATTAATTTTCATTTTCATATCATAATACTAATTAGTTAGCTACAGAAACATAGCCTAGCTACATTTCCTATTTAATTTGTTTTATATTTGATTAATATGTATTTATGCTATAGCCTAAGTAGCCTAATTCAATGAAATAGTCCTATATTGTGCCTTTTGTTACCAGAGTTTTGTGTTGATTAGGTGTGTTATGGTTAGGTGCTGTGTGTGCCAGCCTTCCTACAATCTAGGCTGAGCTGGACATCAATCTCAAAAAAGATTTCACATTTATTGTTTGTTTCTTTAAATTAATGTTTGGATGTAAATGTTTTGGTTGTCCTTCAGCAAAACTCTTTTATTATTATTATTATATTTATTAAATTCCCAGTATCCATCCATCCTCCATCATTACAAATCAACTAATATGTTATATAGGCTATGGTACACTCAGACCAGCTTCTCAAAGAGAAGTACACTGAATATTGCATGTAGCCATCCTATAAGATAAGTAGAGAGATTTGTATGATGGTGTTCACCGGAAGATTATTTTATGAACATTTTGGAAAATGAACAGATTTCTGTGAACTCATCATTGCCCCCTGATAAATTATTTTTTCTGCAAACTTAAATGCGGATAAATTACCTGTTAACGGAAACACTCAGTCTATTATTTCTTCAAATATGTGGTTTATTTTTTCCAGAGCACAGGATATGAACTGAAATCATCTTAATTCAATATTAGTTTGCTAAAAGCATGCCATGGTATAAAATAGCAACAAACATTTGTTGATGATAAGTTGTCTGAGTTAAGCATTACATATACACATGATGTACTTACTTATTTATTTGTTTGTTTGTTTGTTTTTAAAAAATAGAGATTTACCATACATTTGTGTCTACTTCATCCTAATCCTCATAGCCCCATCTTTCAATAAATAGACTAACAATTCTGACGTGGCCTGTTTGTTTATACAAAATTATTTGAATAATAATGTTTTTGTTTATTGCACGTTTCATTTTCCACATATAAACAATTCAGACCAATCTGACCTTACAAGTATAAGTACTGATTTTTTTTTCTCATAAACAATTTATTTCCACTCAAATGGATGCTGTATTGCGTCATTAGCAGTAAATCAGCAGGATGGAGTCATCAGCTGATTATAGATGTATTAGCTTCATGATGAAGTGTTTACTGGTCAGTACTGAGCGTTAGCTATAATATGAGCATGAAAAACAAAAATGTAGTTAATCTGAAGTACAAATTCAGTGCCTAGTTCAAATATTACCAAACATTTTTTTATCAGGGATAAGCAACAATTATGAGCAAAATCACAAAATTAAGCTAAAGATCATTAAAACTGTGATTATGTCAAACAGTGTCAAAGAAAATGATGAGAAACATCACAAGATTAAGCCAAATAATAATTTAATAATTCATAATATGTAGGCTACTGAATACATAAAATTGTGTACATTTAAAGGTGCAAAACGCAAGTATCTGAGTTTTTGCAGAACTACGCCCCCTCTGGCGACAAGCGAAACTGCAACTAGAGGTGTGCGCGCTCATGGAACACACACACACACGCACGTTTGCACGAGCTGTTCATAACCAAAGGAGCATCAGCCGCACACTGTGCGGCACACATCTTTTGTTACAGTCATAATGAGGTTATACAGTTATAAATCTGCAAGTCATTTAAAATATATGAAAGGAAAGGCATTTGAGTAAATTACACACTTATGTGGGTGTGAGGGGAAAACAGGGGTAGTAGAAAGGTTTTATTTCCATCTATCTCCATGTTGAACTGTTTTATGTGCATACTGTATCCATGATTTTATTATTATGGAAATTATTATTATTAAATTGTTTGGACTATTATTATATTATATATATTGTTTGGAGTATTATATATATAATTGTATTATATTGTTCATGAACAATATAAGTTATTACTTTGTATAGGACCCGTTTGAGCCCTAGAGCAGACCGGAGACCTCTCCGTTTGTTGAAAGCCTTCCCGATGTTGACTCTTGTCTTATTCCGACGTCTGGCACTAGACAGACAGAAGTTGTATTTTCTTTGTGCTACGTGAAGTTTGCTGCATTTTATTGATCATCGGCTAATTTCAAAATCAGAAAAGACAGCAATAAGAGAGAGCGGCAACAGCCCTGGTAAGATCATTTCATTTCTTTACTTTTAATGAAGATGGTAGTGTTAAGCGTCTGTGACTTACTTTCACTTTGATTTGCTATAGATTGTGGCGCGCTGGCTTGATGAATAGGCGCTCAGCTGCTCATCTGAGGTGATGCGCATCGTCATACCTGAGTAAAATAACATGACATATAGCCTGGTTTCAACAACCATTTACACTTGTCCAGTTTCGTCTGGAATGCGGCCCAGACCACGTCCTCAAGTGGTTTGAGCGATCGGATTCAAATTCGTTCAAATTCGTCAAATGCGTTTCGGAGGGCAACCTGGTCTTTTCACGATCGAATAGCTATCCGGTCACAGAAAATGCATGAAGTGACCAGGTGAAAACAGCCCCTTTGAATCCATCGTCTACTTTTGTGGAAAGTTGACTAAAGTTGTGTCGTTCGAGTTGTCTTCTCTGATACGGAGAATAGCGGCGAATATACAAACCTAACCTACCAGTCAGTCATAGCCAGGCGAGCGTGAACCCGCATGACGTCACGCCAGGTCTCACGTTCGAGCCCGAATCCCTCTTAATTATTTCACTCTAGGATTATAGAGGAGATCGCAGTGATCGGAGAAGGGCTCATTCAGCCCATCAGGCGATTGTTTAAGCATGTATGAGTTAGAAAACGTCTATTTTTAACATAAAATGTTGTGCAATGCACCTTTAACTCATTACAGAAATATTCCATCAGACACCATCATCCAGGATATTCTGTTTGTTTATTTTTTTCTGACTGCGTGAGTTTACAGTACTGTATGTGTGTGTTTGTGTGGAAGTGGTTGTGCCAGGCACAAGAGACCACACCTCCATCCACTGATCAGCACCATGTGTCCCTCACCTCCCACCTCAAGCAGCCTTATAAAGCCTTATCAAGGAGTCTTGTGCAGACACTCAGCCTGGGACGTGGAACGCTGCAGGTAGGGCAAACATGCATAACTTGTGCAAACATAGCCTACATAGATCCACATACATAGTGTAGGGCAAAACATAGTGCAAATAGAAAACATGTACACAAGACTTTTCGATATGTATTTTCTTGACGGCTATCTCTTTTTTCAGTGAATATAACCAGATCACTAAAAGTGTGCCAGAAGGTCATCTTGTTTTTGAGTTTAAACGATTATGATGCTGAACACAGCCATCTTCAGCTGGTTTTTGATTAATGTTGTGGTGATGGCATCACATTCACACCTAAGGCGTAGTGAACACTCTTTTGCTCTTTCTGACACAGGTAAGGTTTCTAGACTGATGTTATTTATTTTATTTATTTATTTAAAAAAAAAAAAACGTGGTGTGTATCTTTTTCTGTTGATCTTTTTGGAGATTAAGATTTTTGTTATTGTTTACATTTTAATGTGGTTTTCATACACTACAAATGTTCACACATATCCTATATAGGATATTTTACCAGACTTTTTTATTCTAAAATGTTAAAAAGACTTAAAATAATTTGGTAGGTTTGTCCAAACGTATTATGTTTTATACATGTATGTGTATGCATTTAATGTGTTTTGATAAAGAAAATAATTTCAGTTCTTAATGTGGACTCTATTTTGACAGGGCATTATCTTTAAATTTTGATCAGTATGGAGAGTATAAAAGATTTTTGCAAAAATTCTCAGTACTTCATTGTGTAAATCCCAGTTAACATTAGGTGAATTTCAAATACCGTGGACTGCTTTAAAGGAATACTCCACCTTTTTTTGTTTTTTTTGTTTTTCATATGAAACTGTTATTGATACCCTAAGAAAAGTTGAAACATATCTCTCGTCTCAGTGCATGCACTCAATCGCTCTGGCACGCTAGACACGTTGATCGCACTCAACTTAGCCAAGTTCATTCAATAGGGACCAAGTTACACGACACAGTTACACAAGTAGTGTAACTCGATCAAGATTGGTGACACAAAATAAAAAGTTGCACTTTTCTAAGCGTATAACTGTAATGAATGGTGAAATACCACAGCAAGTGATTGGGAGCACTTCGACTCGGCGGATATATATCTATGGACTCGGCGCAGTATTATTATCACTCTGGAGAGGATTTTTCACAAGTGATGATATTACTATGCTGAGTCGAAGCGCTCCCAAGCACTTGCTGTGCTATTCCGCCATAGATTATAGTTATACTCTTTACACGTTTAGAAAATTGCAACGTTGTATTTTGTGTCACCATTCTTGATCGAGTTACACTACTCGTGTAACTGTATTTAAATAGAGAAAACTTGGAGGTGTTTGGTCGCTTCTCTGCTTGGCCCATATTGAATGAACTGGGCTAGTTAAGTGCTATCAAATAGTGTTTCGCACACCAGAGCGATTGCGTGCACACACTGAGACGAGAGAGGTATGTATCAACTCGTCTTAGTTAAGGGAATATAGTTTAATATGAAAAAACGGTGGAGTATCCCTTTAATATATATATATATATATATATATTTGGCACATTTGTGTTTTGTATGTCACAGACGTACTACCTATACTGGAGCACCTAGAAAGAAACTCTGCAGAAGAAAAACTGCTAGAAGACCTTGGATCCTATGATGAGGTGGTTAATTTACATTTGGCTTACAGAATTTACATGTACCACCAGTGGTAGGCTATGTACCTCCACTTGGTACGCCAAATGACAGTGCTAAAAATATTTCAAAAAGTTCCTTCTATTTAAATTTTCCTTTTTTTCATGTTTTACTTTTAATATTATTATTACATTATTGTCCTTTTTACAATTCTATTTACAATTTGAATATTGGTTAGCTTTTACTCTGAGGTATAGCCCACATTCGTAAGCAGTGCATTGTTTGAATGGTTAAAGGGACTGTGTGTATAACTGTGTGTAACTTTTTATGTCATTTATTATCTAAAATCAATATTTTTATTCATAATATGTCCTCAGTTGTGCACAAATACCTCTGCCAATTTATCCTCGTAAAACAAATAATTTATTGTATTTACATACATGGGACGGGTAAGTCCACGGAGGCTTGAAAAACTATAGCAGAGAGGATCAAAAAGTACTAGGCCAACGCGTTTCCACAAGCAGCAGAACCAGACGAGCAGAGCAGTTGAGAGGCGCTTGTCTAAACCATAGGCGGTCTAAACCCGGCCATTTTAAAAAGCTGAATTGCAATTTTATTTTCTATGGTGGATCATACTAATGCCGAGCCACAGGAGAAGAAATCCTCGTCGCCAAAGTCCCAAATTGAACGAAAAAGGAAACGTGACCGCAGAGTACAAAAAACAAGAGTAAATGATTTGAAGGAGAAAGATTTCAAAAGAGCTGTTGAAGTTGCCTGCTTTCTCCTCGACAGATAAGTCAATGTTACAGTCTTAATTACATGCATTTTTTTCTTTGCTTGGTTGTGTATTTTATAATATAGACAGTAGAACATTTATAGTGCAAAGTTAAACAGACTATTTGATTATAACATTAGCAGCTAATGAGTAAAGTAGAGAAGGTGCTAAAAAGGTGATAAAAATTCAATAATAATATATTTTAATAGGGCATATGATTGTGTTCTTGCAACTTTGCACACAGTAAAAAAAATACATGGTGAACATTTGAAGAAAGGCTATCACAATCATGTTTTTATTTTATCTGTCAGATAGCCTACGTCTCGTCTCTTTATTTTTTTCTACCGTAAAATAAAGCAACATTTTTTTTCGGGAGCTTCCTCTTTTTCTCTGATTGAAAATACCTGTTGCCTACAGGGAGTCGAGAGAGTGGTAAAGCTTCCGATACACATATTTATATCACATTTATAAATAAGTCCTGTTAATAAGTTACCAAATAAACAGAAACAGACGTGACTGAAGAAGAGTGTCCTCTTTCTTTTGTAAAACCTAACGGTAATTTATTACAGTGGCATAAATACTAATCGCAAGTCAGTAATTCATTCTGTAGCATTTGTTTATTCGCTGTGTCAAGTTGCAGTTTGTTTGAAATTACAAACCGGTTCACCTGAAGGAAAACTCGACGAAGTGCTATTAGAAGACATCCTTCCTGTCATAGTTTTTTGGTACATAACGGCTACCGTAGATGCAAACACGCATTTGAAAAAGCAAGGCGCTGGAGAGCACAATTCGTTTGAATGCAAAATACAATTTCAATGCAAGATGGGAGTAAATCTTACATAGAGTCCCTTTAAGGTGATGACTTGGATGTTCTGATATAATTTAACATGAAACTTGGTCTGAAAAGTTTGAGCACTATAACATTTTTCTCTGTGTATTTTTCTTTTGTTGCCATAACCACAGGATCTGGGTAAAGCTGCACGGCTTCAGAGAAGAGGCACCCGTTCCCCCAGCCGCTGTATCCCTCATCAGCAGTCCTGCCTGGGCCACCACCTGCCCTGCTGCAACCCCTGCGATACGTGTTACTGCCGTTTCTTTAAAGCCTTCTGTTACTGCCGTAGCATGGACCACACTTGCAAAAACTAATATGCATAGAGCCAAATTCTACCCTGAAATGGCTATGGTGGCTTAACATTTACAGTTTATACAGCTATAGCATGTACAGTATGTGGATAGCGCAAACATACAGCCATACACTATCCACAGAGACGTTTAATATAGACCAAATATAATGATTAATAATGTGTTAATACAGCTGCACAAAGCATAGAGTGCACATTTGCTCTTAACCCTTTTAATGCTGCAGTTTAAGGTGTAATTTTATGGCAATTTTAAGGTCAATATCTGCTCATTGCCTGAAATATTTTGTATATATGAATTCAATAAACTCTTATTGCAGATGTAAAGAGTATTAACTAAAAGGGGAACAAAAAACAACTTTAACCATATACAACTGCACAGACAGCACACATACACTGAGAGGCAGAAGAAAAACTGAGGGGAAATTATCAGTAATCATCAGTAATTAGTAATTATCATGGTTTAAAAAAAGGTAACCAAAAAAAAAAAAAACACATGTGCAACAACCCAACAACACAGAAGATGAACTTGCTGGAGTATTTTGCAGTTTTGCATTTTGCAGCTGGAGTAAAACAGGTTATACTTCAAATTCCATAATTCATTTAAAGTAGCCCACAGGAATCCCAAAACACAAAGTTAAGTTCTTAAAGTTAAGAGAATTAACATTCTCAGCAAAGAAGGTGAGTCCATGAAACATTTCAACAACAACAAGTCCAGACAACGAGTGAGTGCAAGTGAGCGGTAAATACAAATCCAAACCAATCAAAGAAACAAGAAACAGGTGAAACAACTTAATCAATCAATTAAAAACCATGGAAACTGTATGTATGGAAACGGTTTTCTTTTGCTTTTTTTGTGTATAGATGACAACGTTGTCAAAATGATCCCTGTTCACATGGATCCGCAAAAATGATAAATAAATAAAAATGTTGTATTATTTATGCATGCCATATTGGTAACTTTTATGCCATTAGGTATGTGAACACACACACAAAAAAAATTGAGGTCATGATCTAAGCAGGCTAAGTGGTCATAAAAATAGTGCCTTTTGTGCTCTTAGGAAATGAATGGGAAATTGACAAAAACACAAAAATTCATAGAATGTATAGCCACGAGGTGAGGCGGAGTTATGCAATTCAAAATCCGCAGACCCATGGCATTTCTTTGCCATTGGATCGTTTTATATTGGTTGAAGCTGATAGACTTTCTAAGCGAAAATCCCATTCGTCGTCATCTGACGGAATGTTGTTCCTCTATTGTGTTTACTTTAACTTTCAGCAGCCATTTGCTCCACCATATCCTCAGGTGGTAATGTGTGTGATTGAATGTAAGTTTATTTATTCACACACAGTTATAAGTGATGTATGTTTGTTACATTGTGCACAACATCATGAGTGTTATGTAACTTACATTGATTCATTCACGTGTATATGGTTGCAGCTGTAAATCCTATTGTGACGTTGGTTTATATATATATATATATATATATATATATATATATATATATATATATATATGAGGCGAGCTGAATCAATACTAAAATGTGATTGGTCAGAGAGCTTTGTCACCATTCACTCCGTCATCATTGCACGAGCCAGATGGAGTATGCAGAATAACCCCGCCATTTTTAATAATAATAATAAGGAATGAGCAGGAGTATAAATTATATCTGAAAAAATGTTATATATATATATATATATATATATATATATATATATATATATATATATATATATATATATATATATATATGAAGAGTTCAGATGCAAAAGCCTCTAAATGCCATTTGAAATTTTCTTCTTTAATGATGATTTTTATCAAACTTAGATATTTAAGTTCAGTAATTTCACTTAAATAACAATTAATAGGTAATTATCATTGCAATTTAAGTGAAATCACTGAACTTAAATATACAAGCTTGATAAAAATCATCATTAAAGAAGAAAATTTCAAATGGCATTTAGAGGCTTTTGCATCTGAACTCTTCATATATATATATATATATATATATATATATATATATATATATATATACAATAAATAGTCTTTATAATAATTAATCCAAGAAAGACGAATAAAAGGTCATGTCATACATCTTTATTAAAGAAAATAAAGACAATTATCATGGCTGCTTTAGTTAGCAGCAATTGTCTGGTCAACCCAGGCACGGAGTTTGGTGACACGGGCGTACACAGCAGGTGTGCTGGTTGAGCAGGTGCTACTTCCCCAGGACACGATACCAACAAGAGTCCAGACTCCATTCTTCTCACAGACCAAAGGACCACCAGAATCTCCCTGTAAAACAGAGATAAGTCAGGTAAGTCAGTGTTCATCACAATCTTCAAGAGCTTGGCAAATAGAAAGGTAAGGTGGAAAATCAAGAGAGACTCACCATGCAAGATGAGGCACCATCGGCTCCGGCACAGATCATCAGATCAGTGATGTTGGTTCCCCAGTAACGCTTGCAGTCATCATTGGTCAGCAGGGGCAGAGCGGCCTGCTGGAGCAGGGGAGGGGTATCAGCGGCTGAAACGACAGATTGCCAGCATTTTTAGAAGCTTTCAGCATAGAAAACAAGTCAGGACAGTAAGTTTTACCTTCTTAAACCATAAAAGCTGAGAAATGCTATATGATATATAAAAATCAAATCAAACTTTCATCATTGTAAATGTAAATATTTTTTTTAAATATATGTAAAAATGCTGAATTGAAAAGAGATTCTGAAACTCACCATTGTACCTGGTCAGGCCCCATCCAGAGGTCACACACTTCATGCCTCCAGGGAAGTCGTCAGTGGTTTCAGCGAGACACACGGGAGACACATGAGTGTTGATCTGAGCAGGAGTGGCCAGCTTGATCAGGAGGATGTCGTTGTTGATGGTGAAGCTGTTGTAGTTAGGGTGCTTGATGGACTTTGGGAAGAGGATACAGACATGTTAGCATTCTAATTTTAAGGTAGCAATCAGTAGAAATGCTCTCTTCAGGTTTCTATTAAAATACTATCTCATAACAGTGGTTCATGCAGGATATATGTTAGTGCTTTTCAACAATGGGGAATCTGTGCCATTGCTGCCGAATCTTGTGAAAAACAATCATATTACCTAGGTTGTGATTGTGTGTTTGCAATTTGTATTGAATGTAAGGTCGTTGGCTTTGGGAAACGCACCCCAGATCAATTAGTGAATCAACAACGGACTCATTTACTGAGCTGCAAGTTGTCGTTATTAGGGGCCATTAAGCACTGAATGATGTAGCCCCTAATATACAGTAATTGTTATTTTGTTTTTATTTTAACAATATTAATCATGGTTTTTTTTTTTCTCGAACAGGCATCCCTTTGAACCTTACATAGTTAAACCATGAAATTTGTTACACAGATAGAGGTAGTCCTGAATAGTAGTTTTGAGTATTTTCAGTGATGTCAAATGCATGAAGATTGTTTTGCATGAGCATCGTCACTCGTATAGGTATATTTGTAATAAATGAAGCAATTGTGCTTTACGTTTATGTATTGAATTTGGACAGGGACTTCCCAAGGCAAAACAGAATTCTGTAGGAAATACTGCGATACTCAATAAAATAGATATTGAGGGTCTACACACCAGTCCAACGGCAATGGTCTGAATGGCCTCAGCATTGGATGAACGATCATGCTCACCAAGGACGACGCGGTGAGAGGTCCTGTAATTATAGATATAGATAATCAAAATGGTTTAACCCCAAATCTTTGGTTGCAGGACAATAGGCTATAAATACCAAATGAAATATAATGATAACTGAAATTCAAACTTATTTCCCATTGATCCTTATAGGCATTAAGGTTTACTGTTTAATACTGTCTTACCGGACATTGCAGTGAGCAGCAGTCACAACCCACCACTCGTTGATCAGGGAGCCACCGCAGAAGTGGAAGCCAGTGGAGTCCTGCGAAAAAAATTAAAAATGATGAAATAAATGATAAAGTTTTTTTTTTTTTTGAGTTTGCATTGTTATTCACACCAGTTTTACCTGCAGAGACACCTGCCAGGGCCAGGAGTGAGTCCTTGCCTCCTCACCATTCACAATCCTGGCGTAGCCAGTGATAACAGGAGGAATGGCAGGAACGCCACAGCCTAACAGATCAAAAAATTGCACAAAGAAATTTAACAGATTCATACATCCTGAGCACTATTTAAAAGACTTGTATAATGGTATCTTATGTTAAGAAAAACAGGATTGTACCATAGGCTGCACCAAAGAAGGCGAGACAGGAGAGTATCCACAAGAAGGCCATTGCTGCACTTGAATATTGTTTGCTCCTCTGAGGGCTTTATATATTCAGTCCTCATTCATATGCTGGACATCTTATCGCTCCACTGTGGGATATTGTGCACCTTGCAAAGGAGAGTTTTTTCCACCCCTGCAAAAGATAATGCCCCCTCCTTCCGCTTGCTTTAAATCGGCTGTAAATCGTTCATTATTGAATTACATTGATATTTATGCATTTGACAGACTTAAACTGCATTGAGGTAATCATTTTATCAGTTTGTGCATCCCCTGTTTGTTAAACCCTCAACCATGGCATTTCTAACACCTTGTTGCTCTATACTGTTGGAGCTACAGAAATCCACCCAATTAACCACGAAAGAATGCCTTTAACTTTCACTGATTCACAATGATTGAAAATTGCTCTAATATTATCTTCAATTTCTCAGTTTCATGCAACACATTTTTTAGGAAAGCTGTACTCAGAAAAGTGATAACCTCCATGTTATATTAGTTAATAACATCTGTGTGGTGAAAATGGCTATGGCATATTTCACATGTGACTGTTATTTTATTTTATTTTTTATTTTGTGTAATATTCTCTGTTAAATAAACTGCACAAAAGCTTCCTATAAGTTTGATGAGAGGATTTGATATTTTGCATTTATCAAATGAGATTATTGAAAAAATTTCTTAATTTTACTACTTTTGTTGCGTAACATACATTTTTCAAGTCATTGTGTTGACTGCAATAACCCTGACCTAGATAACTATATTTTCATACGCACTGATAATGCTGTGTTCCTGGTTTCAAGGCCTCTGTGTCCACATCTGCACTGATTCCCAGCTCATTTAGGTAACCT